CCCCCACACCCTCCCTTCCCAGAGCTTGGCACCGCCCAGGGGTCCCTGAGCCACGCCCCCACCCCCTCCCCTCCCAGAGCTTGGCATCGCCCAGGGCGGCACAGCTGGCCCATCCTCAGCCTCCCACAGCCCAAGGGCAGGGCCATGTCCCCAGGGGTGGGCCAGTCTATGGCTGCCCCCTTCTTCCCCTCCTGGGGTGTTGTGGGAAACAGTCAAGTCCCACAGGAAGACCTGGGGCCGATAGCGCTGGCAGGAAGAAATGCCACCCGGGTGAGCCAGTGGGGCCCAGGGGCAAGTCACGGTCACGGTGGCCCCGCCCCTCCCTGTCACGGGTGCGCCTGGCCTGTCCTTCCCCTGCCCAGCCGGCATCCACACAGTCTGCTCAGAGTCGCCCTGCTGCTCGGACCAGAAGAGGGACCCAGGTAAGGGACCCGGGGCGGGGGAGCCGTGGGCGGAGGGGCTGTTGGTTTTCAAGGGGACCAGGGAGCCTGGGGCCTCCCAGGGGTGGCATCGGGCACCACCTCGGGGGACTTGCTCTGCATGTTCCCAGCTATCTGAGAACCAGCCTGCCTGTGCCTGTCCCTGGTAGGTGACCAGCTCTTGATTCTGTCACCAGCATGCTGCAGGGCTTCAGAAAACCCCTTGACCTTGCTGTGCCTCGGTTTCCCCATCTGTCACCTGGCGTTAGGATCCTGAAGACAGGAGGACAAGGGTGCCTCTGCCCCAGGGTCTCAGCCTCTGCTCGTAGGACAGTGAGTCCAGACAGCTGCTCCTGCCTCGGGCTTAAAGGTCCTGGGGGGACAGAGAGCAGAGAGTAGGGCCTTGGGGGACAGCCTGGGACACAGGTGGCATGGCTCAAGGGGACACTGGTTTGGCAGAACACCCAGGCCCCCTCAATCAGCCCTTCCTGGGGCCCCACCCCTCCCTCTGGGCATCATTCTTTTTGGGGGAGGGGGATACCAGGGTTACAGTTCTGTGCTTATTATTTTCTTCTCCTTTTTAAAAAAACTGCCCCAAAGACTTAAAGATCCTAACTGGGGTGTCAGGAGTGTGTGTCACGGCAGTGGCACTGAGTGAAGCCTGGGGCGTTCTGTTTAGGGTCCAAACCAAGCAGATCTGTCAACAGGATTCCTCCCGGCCCTGAAGTTCCTAGAACTCAGACTGCCATAGCCCCAGAGGACACGTGCCACCCACACTGGGGACTCCCAGGGGCCCTGCTGGGCAGTGCTGTGCCTGCCTCCTTATTTCATTTTTGCAATCCTGTGTGTGAAGTCTCCCTCCTCCTTTTTTTTTTTCTTCTTTACTGAGATGGGATTCACACACTGTGACATTTATCTATTTTTTCTTTCTTCTTTCTTTCTTTTTTTTTTTTTTTTTTTAGCAAGGGATTGAACCCGAGGGTGCTTAACCCCCGAGCCACATCCCCAGCCCTTTTTATTTTGTATTTTAAAATAGGGTCTCACTAAGTTGCTGAGGGCCTTAGTAAGTTGCCGAGGCTGGCTTTGAACTTGTGATTCTCCTGCCTCAGCCTCGTGAGTGGCTGGGATGATATTCATGGACCCAGTTACAATTCACTCTTTAAAAATGTACAAGGCCGGGCAGGGCACGGCTTGGGAGGCTGAGGCAGGAGGATCAAGAGTTCAAAACCAGCCTCGGCAACTTAGTGAGGCCCTAAGCAACTTAGACCCTGTCTCTAAATAAAACCCAAAATAGGGCTGGGGATGTGGCTCAGTGGTTGAGTGCCCCTGAGTTTAATCCCTGGTACCAAAAAAAAAAAATATATATATATATATATATATATATACAATTCAGTGGATTTTAGTACATTCTCTGAGCTGTGTAACCATCATCACTATCTAATTTAGAGCATTTTTTTATCATCCCCAAGATAAACCCCAAATCCTTTAGCAGTCACCCCCACATAACACTCATCTGCTTATCTCTGTCCCTTCTGCATATTTCATATAAATAGAATCATACAGCATGTGGTCCTTCCACACTAGTTTATTTGACTTAATGTCATGAGGGTTCCTTCATATGGTGCCGTGGAGCTAGTCTTCCTCTTGACGGCTGAATAATATTCCATTGTATGGTTACATCCCATTTGGTTCATCCATCCACCAGTTGATGGGCGTGTGGTCGTTTCACCTTTCAGCTATTTTAATAGCGCTGTTGTGAGCCTTCCTGTCCCTGCCTTTGTGTGGATATAGGTTTTCAGTTCCTCTTGGGCATCGACCTGGGATGGGGACTTCTGGGTCGCCTGGTAGATCTGCTTAACATCTGGAGGAACTGCCAACTATTTTACAATCGCACCAGCCAAATGTGGAGGGGTTCTGATTTCTCCACACTGCAATCAGCCCTTGTTATGGTGTGTGTGTGTGTGTGTGTGTGTGTGTGTGTGTGTGTCTTACCCTGACCATGTTTGTGCGTGTGACGTGGCCTCTTGTTATGGGTTTGATTGGCATTTCCCTGATGACTAAGGATGTGGACCATCTGTCTCTTTAGAGAGACATCCATGCGGATCCTTTCTTTGTGTTTTTCTTGTTGTCCACTGTGTGTGGTGGGTGGGGGAGAGAGGCAAAGAGAGAAGGTGGAAAGTGAGTCACTTAGGGCCTTGAGAAGTTGCTGAGGCTGGCCTTGAACTCGCCACCCTCCTGTCTCAGCTTCCGGAGCCGCTGGGATTACAGGTGTGCGCCATCGTGCCTGGCTGGAACAAATCCTAATTGGCTCTTTTTCCGGGCTGCAACCTGCAGTTCCACCTTCTTTTCCTCTCAGCAGTTCTGTGTTTGTCAGCTTTCAGTCACTGTAATGAAATAACTGAGATAATTCACTTATAATGAAAAAAAAAGGTTATTTTTGGCTCAGTTTTGGAGGTTCCAGGGCCTGATTGGTTTGGGCCTGCAGTGAGGTTGTGCATCACCGGGGGAGTCCGTGGTGGAACAGAACTGTCTTCCTCATGGGGAGAAAGAAGAAGAGTCTGGGGTCCCACAGTCCACTTCAAGGGCAAACCCCTAGTAACCTGAAGACCTTCCACTATGCCCCACCTTTTAAAGGTCCTACCACCTCCCAGTAGTGCTGACGACCCAGTCTCTAAGGCCTTGGCCTGTAGTGGACACTCGAGACCCAAGCCAGAGCAGGTTCCTGACGCACTTGGACTTAGTGTTCTGAGGTCTGAGTTCCTACCCACTGTGTGGTCTTGGCCAAGTCCCTTGTCTTTTCTGGTCCTGTTTTGATGTCCTGGCTGTGACACTAACTTGGGGAAGGGATACACCCCCTGCTTGAGGAGCCGGGGGATAAAGTGGGCTTGAGGCAGGAAGTGGGAAGTAGGAGAGGTGGAAGAAGGGGTACGAATGTGTGCACGATCTTATAAAAGGAAGGAGAAGATGCTAAAGAAGCATCGCAGGCCCTGGCTGTTTCTTTAAGCTCTTGAGTGCAACGGGTTGTGATTTCTCTGGGTAAAGCGTCTTCTCCAGGCCAGGGGCCAGGGGCCAGGAGACAGCACAGAGCCAGAGAAACATGGTGGCCACTTCCCGGGAGCTCAGAGGATCTTTTGATCTTTCAGTGCTGGGGTGGTGCTACCATGGAGGTGCATCCCCAGCCCTTTTTAAATTTTATTTTGACATAAAACTCTTGCTGGATTGTCCTGACGGTCCTCAAATTTGTGATCCTCCTGCCTCAGCATCCTGGTACCTGCCTAACCAATTTGAACCCCAAATGTCCCTTTCTGGGAGCATTTGAAAGAACTCACTATTTCCTGCAAGATACGTGCATGCTACTCTGGGCCCTCTTACAGGTCCTGTTAAATTTACTACCCCAACTTCTTTGGTGATGAAATTGATAAACTGAAGAGTTTAAGAGCCTTAGTCCCCTAGAGAGTCACCCCTACAGGAAGGACCTTGCAGAGGGCAGCCCCCATTTTCTCTGCACATGGAGAAACGGAGGTCCAGGGTAACCCAGCAATGTTTAGAGAGGGGAGGCCGGAGGCTGGCCACCCATATGGGAGACTACTGTAAAACTCAGGAAAAAGGATCTGGTGATCTGAGTGGACCACACTCGGCCTTGATCACCCTTCAAGTCTCCTTGAGCTACGCCTGAGCCCTAACCTCACTTTTCTGATTCCAGATCCACCAATAAAGACCCCAAAGGGGGGACTTGGGTTTGTTAAGTGCCGATATTGCAGACTCATTAGGGCACAGTCCCAAGGGTCGCTCACTCCCACAATCCTCTGGGGCTGGGTATGGCACTTCATCACCTGCACAGAGCCAGGGAGGGAAGGCAAAGCAAGACCAGGCACAGCTCTCTTGGCTCCCCAGCCGGTTCCTGCAAGAGCTGACCCACTCCTGGGACCAGGGTGTGACTCATCTGCGAGGGCAGGGCCTTAGGGGCTCAGTCACCTCTTCCTCCTCGGCCCCACCTCCTGACACACTGGCACCGGGGATTGACTCTCCAGCCCATGAACCCTGGTGGGCACACATTCAAACCTGGGGCACCCTGGTGGCTTTGCCCAGCCCCGTACAGGATACAGATGACACAGAGTCAGCCTGGGTCCCCGTCCTGACTAGGTCCATAATCCCGTGGAGGAGACAAACCCTAGGTGTGTCCAACTCCCTGCCGAGCCCTGGGCAGTGTCCAGAAACAGTTCCTCCCTCGAGTTGGGCAACAAGATGCCCTACCCCTTGAAGAAGAGTCTGGAATGAGCCAGAGGTGACTAAGGTTTGGGACAGTGATGTGCTAGGAAATAGTGTGGGAGTGCCCCCTGGGCCTCCCCAAGTCCCGTTCCTCACTAGAGCTCCTTCCTGCCAGTTGTTAGCTTTGCAGGCGGTGCTCTGTGCCTCTGGGCCTTTGCATATACTATTCCTGGTGGCCTGTCCAGATTCAGCCCCAACAGCCCTTCTTTCAGGAACTTTCCTTGTCTGACCCTGGTCTGATCGGGCTCCTGGCTTCTACATCCTCCTAGTATATTTTAAAATTCGTTGGGGACAAGTTGGCAACTTATTCAACATAGTATTGCCAGTGGCAACAACTAGTAGGTGCTCAATTAATGTGCAAATATAGGAGAGAGGTGTGTTGGTCAGATGGTATTCAGTTACAAATGCTGAAAATCCTGAGTATAATGATTTAAATAAAAGGGAAGTTTATTTTTTCTCAAGTTACAAGAATACAGGCAGTTTCCAGTACTGACTAAATAGCTCAACAATGTATCTACATTTGCTCTGGGTTTTCCTCATAGTCATAAGATGGCCACTGTAGCTCCTGCCATCACATTCATGTTTAAAGAAGAAAGGAGAGGAGCGGGAAATACAGCATGATTAGGCTCTTTTGCCAGGAAAAGGAAAACTCTTCTTAGAAGTCCACTTCTCAATGGACAAAACCAGGTCACATGGCTTTCTCTAGCTTCCAGGGAGGTTCCTCATTAGAGATT